AAAGGATCATCTACCCATATACTGAAGTCACTAAGACTGAGGACACTGATACTATTGGGAGATTCAAAGCCAGGTGTCTCTATGGAGGAATGAAGCATAATGGTCTGGAAGTGGCAGTGGCATGTGTGTATCAAGAGGGAGAGGTTAGCGAAGAGAGTACTGACCCTTCCCATAGGCCCAGTGGTACATGGGCTGTGGGAGGTAAAGAAAAAACTGGAGAGGGCTGCCGGGGAAAAATTATCATTAGAGGAGAATCGAGTTTCCATTGAAGAAGGTGGTCAGAGAATGTCCAAAGAGGAGGTTGAGAATGTAGAGAGGGTTCTGCCAATGATGGGCCGTGAATTCCAGAGGACACAGTAAGAGTTACAGAGTTGGGCAGGAGATGGGGACAGGTGGCAGGTAGGCAGAGCTTTACAAGTACTAGAGATGAAGAGTAACGTAGCAGTCTAGAGCTCTCTGAGCTGATGTAAATACAAGCAAAGGGCCTAATGAAATTAGTTCCAGTGACTAAAATAGAAATTGGTGGAGAGGCTTAAAGAAGTTGAAGGGATAGGGGACAGGTGAATGTCAGGCGTTCCTTCTTAATCCCATTCATAGAGACGGGGTGATCGGAGGCTCAGAGCTCTTGTCCTCCTCTTGAACCCCTGTCAGTAGAGGGTAGAAGACCTAGTGAGACATGGACTTGGTCCCAGTGCTGCAGTTTGCTCCTTGACCCCTCTGTTTTTTCCCAGTGCTGGGGGCTGTTTCTTGCCTCTGGATGATGAAATGAAGAACCTCTGGAAAGCCAGGAATTATGCTGAGCATTTGGACTTCCTTTGACCCCTGATATGGGGTGGAGGAAGGATAGAAGGCCTGGGGAGATGGAGCCTTAGTGCCAGTGAGAGAAGCCCACTCTTGAGCTATGGAGGGAGGGGCTTCCCCTTGATCCCTTTTGTTGTTGAGGTATATTTGGCCTAATGTGTTTTCTTGCCTATTATTATTATGTCATATCCATAAATGAGATCTTTAGTGTTTTTCACCTTTGCCATATGTTGAGTTTTTAGTTTATCCTTGGGAAATAGGACACGTCTTTGGTTAATAGACGTTTGAGGTACACAAAATGAAATGCTGCGAAAGCAATTCAGATGGAACTGACAGGTATGAGAATGGGGCTCATCTGCTCCCAGCTTTTCGGCTTGATGCAGTCTTGCAATAAATAATCAGAAACTGGGTGAAATGATAGCAAATGTCAGTTTAAAGTTTTTACTTGTCAAAACTAAGATTGTCTTATCACGAAACCATTGTTGGACCAAATTATGCTGCCTTTTATCCTCCTGTTCATTGGAAAACGTTCTTCACCCGATTTTTTTATGCTGAACTGTGTTAGAGCACTTCACAGACAAATTTCCAATCTATACTGATGTTCATTACTGCTCAGTTCATTTAATAAAGGAGACTTAGTTCGGTCAGAAAGCAATTGTTTGACTCTTCTGTTTATCAGTCTCCGTCCCTGTCATTTACGGTTCCAGGTTAAACAATGGGACCTGTCTCAGCAAAGGAAATTCTTTGCAGTTTTATGAAGAGGTTACTCTCATTTTATTTGTGCGACAGAGATAAAACTCTCAAGAACGTCAAGGTTCTATTTGTCTAAGGAGCCATTATGATGTAGCTTCTGACCCTTGGAAAGAAGACCAAGGTTCGTTTAATTTACTGCTGAGTTTCTAAGAAGCATTAGCCAATTTATTTTCAACAGAATGAGAAGTTATTTGGACTACTTTGTGGCCAGATGCTGTGAATGAGACACCGAGAGTGTTAGAGCTGCCCGGGGTCTGAGAGCACCTGGACCAGGCCCAGGATTTGACAGATGGGACACTAAGACTCGGCGAGCAGGACAGCTCCCCAAGGTTGCCACACGGGGAGGCCCAGGTTTACACTCAGATGTCTTGACTGCTGTTTGACACAGACATTTTATCAAAAAGGTTTTTTCTGAATTTCTGTCCTCAGGATGAGAAAAATATTCTACTTTATAGAAGCCTTCATATTTAAAGCTATAAAATCTTAAGAGGTGGGAAAGCCATATTTGTTTCTTTTATTGTTGCTTGTTTTTGCAGTACTTTTTCCCTTTTGCATATGAAATTTTCTCTGCTCCTTTTTCAGTTAGTCCCTCTTCTTCTCAGCATAAATAAACATTATGCCTTGAGGGAAAATGAGGACTACAGAAAGAGAGAGGAAAAATTTGAGACCAGATAGAGAACTAAGGCAGTTTTAACTCACCGTGATCATGTGGCAGTGAGTTTTGTGTGGACCTTGACTTCTGTTTCTGAGCATGAGGAGGGCTCATGTAAGCCCCAGGGGGAGCAATAGGACGTTCTGGGAGAGCAGCAGAGCAGGTCAGAGTACAGCAGGAACCGCCTGTGTGAGGTGGCCTGCCACGGTGAGCACCGTCCACCTCCAGCATAGGTTTTCAGCACATGGCAGTGGTGGCATCCTGAGCTTTGTGTATAGGTGCGGCCACTCACAAGTTGTGTGACCCTGGGAGGTAACTTACCCTCACGGAGCCTCAGCTGCCTTGTCTGTAAAGCATCGAGATCTCGTGTAGGTGAAGTGAGAAGCTGTCAGCGTGGTGGGGTCAGCTCAGAACAGTTCCGTCTCTCTCTCACTCCCTTCCTTCCTTCCAGCTTCCCTAGGAATGCCAGCTCTCAATTTGAAGTCCTTTTTTCAAAACTGTGTATTTACGCATGCCTCCTTGGAAAAATTGCACATTGCCACTTGGTATAATAGGTCAGCTGTAGGAGTGACTGTTCTGTTCCTGGGCAACATTTAAAAGAGCCAGTGGAGCTTAACACAGCACATTCCAGAGAGCTTATGCTGTATCTCCATGCCAGAAAACTCACATCGTAACCAGTATGTTACACTGTACTTAATTAACTTGTGAAGATATGATTATACCAGGATAACAAGATCTGGCCTATATTTTGCACATGGAGGAAGCATTTTATACTGAGGAATATTCTAGCCCAGGTATTTTATCAGTGCTTATTAACTTGATTTGATAGACATACTCATAGACATGCAAATTTTTCAACCTGTTTCCTGTGTCTGTGCCTTGCATGTACTGTGTACTGTTCCCTCTGCCCGGAAGGCCCTTGCTGCCATTGCCTCTGTCCATTCCTTCTCCTCACCCCTTCTTCAGCTTCGTCCTCCGGGTCTTTCAGAACATTGCTCAAGCATTACATTCTCCAAGAAGCCAGCCGTGACACCCAGAATGGTGGAGGTGCCCCTTCTCTATGTACCCCGTCACTCGGTTCATATAGAGGAAGGGTCTGTTTGGGGCCGGGAGAGGGATGAGAAACAATGAAAGGGTTCTGTAATGGGGAACCCACCTAACCCTGGGAGACTGGGAAGTTTCTTTGAGGAAGTGACGTTTAGGTTCAAGACTGAGTGTGAGGTAGCTTGGCAGGAGAGGAAAGAACATTATTTCTGGTGGAGGGAGGAGCAGGTGTGAAGACCCATCCCCGCAAGCTGGAGGCAGAAAGGAACATAGCTCCCGTTGCTTACCTCCTCCTCAAAGGAATTGCCATCCTGCGCTGTCGTCATTGGAGCTGATGCATAGTCTGCTGTCATTTACCTGAGAAAGCAAACGTGGCAGGAGACCCAGGTGTGGTGTAACCAGCGAGTGTGTCACCTGTGCTGTTCTCTGTGAGGTTTTAGGCTGGCGTCCTAGCTTTTCTGAGGGGCAGTGTCCTCACCTGTAAAATGGGTATGACACTTCTGCTTACCTCAGGGTCTGTTGTGAAGATTCTGTATGAGCTCTCAGCAACTGGCGTACAGCGACACTCACAGCAGGGATTTTATTATTCATATTGTGACTTCCTAAGGTGTTAAACAGCTGAGCTGGATCATTGTCCACTGTGATTAGAACTTCTTACTTGATTGCATGAAGTTGGAATAATGAGAATGTTTATTTTCATGACAATCCAAGATAAATTCAGGATGATTGTTTCCCTACACACTGAAGTTGTATGGGAAAGAAGAAGGCCTGAGAGGGTGAGTGGAAGCTCTTCCTTGGAGGCTCCAAATACCATCAGAAACTAATTGTCCCTGCTGTGGTTTAGTAGTCTAGATGCCCCACAAGTTTGGTCCTGTAAAAAATTATGCCTAATTCAAGTATGTTGTGTATGTTGCCTGTTTTGCATTATCTGGGAGATGGCCGTGGTGACAGCCTTCCTCCCCGATACCTCAGGGGTGCTGCGCACTAGAGGACAGATGTGCCTGTGCTTTGGGAAGATCCTCAGCCTCTGTCCTCGCAGACTGTGTGAGGGCGCCCTCACTGGATTGCAGGCGGCCTGTCGCCCCCTTGCCTATTACACACAGTCATGGATGCTAAGTCCTGTTTTAGCCACTTCCTGATGGTAATGCTGCAGTGCTGGTGAAATAACACATTTAACCCGGGTCCTCGTAACTGTATTATAAAGTGAAGTGCCCGCAATTCATACAGCATCGAGTCTTCTGGTAGGCAAGGCTTAAAGAGGAAATAACATCCTTGCCTTCCATAACAACGTCCATCTATTGGAAAGAAACTATGGTTGTCCTTCCTCCACTCGCAAAGTACCTTGCGTGAGCCCAGCCTTAGTTCCTGGCACACGGTGCTCTGATAGTCCACTACACGTCCATCTTCTCTCCACTCTCAGTTCTTCATGACAGAGCCTCTCTTGGTACCCCCATGCACGTTGGCAGTTACTCTGTGTGGATTGGCCAGCTGCTGTGGTGAAGGTGTCACACACATTTATTGTGTATTAAAGTTGGGGGGATGAGAGAGGGGCCTGTGATAATCCTAAAGGGCTTCTGTGTTAGAGCCCTGTCATCTCAATGGGAATTTCTTTCAGTTTTTAGCCCTGCCCTTTATTAGTTATCTTTAAGTTTTAGAATACTGCATTGAATATGATTTAAACTCACAGCCAAGTCATTTTGTCCTGTATTTTCATCTTTTTTCTTTGCGTGTTTTGTTTTGTTCACTGTAGTGGTGCTGATTACTATGATTATGGACATGGACTCAGTGAGGAGACCTACGATTCCTACGGTGAGTGACTGGCCAGAGTGACCCATGAATAGAGAGGGGCACGGTCATAGAAACACCTTAAAGATCTTAATTGAGGGGAAATTCATAAAGACATTTTGACTATGAAACAGCAGCTTCCTCTCAGTTCATCTGTGCATATCTAGCTATTTTCAGAAGCACCTTTAAGATTTAAATTTAATAAAAGAGGACAAAAGACTTGCAGAAAATTGCATGAATTCAGATTCTGAACTTAGATTTTCTGTTTGAGTTGATTGCCACGTGCTGACTTTCTCATTTGTAGACTAGTTTGCCAAAGTGCAGACACTTGATAGCATGGGTCTTTTTGAAGTGTCTTTGCTGCTTGACAGTAAAGGAAAGCGAAGCAATCGACACAACAGCTTTAAAGTGGTTCTCCCACCCCCATCTTTATATTTTAATCCATCCTCAATCTCAAATCCTCTGAAAACATTACAGTGGGAGTCATTCCAGAAAGTTTACAAAAACACTGAGCCGGGGAGGAGATGTCAGGCTCTCTCAGGCTTACAGGGAGACAGCTAAACCCCAGTTAATTCAGTGGGAGCTGGTAGAGATGCTGGGGAAACCATGTCCCAAGTCTCAATATGCAGAAGGACAACAGGTTTAATTAAAAGAATTGATGGCAGCGCCATAATAATAGTAAGAAGCTCCTTCGCCACAGGGCAAAGAGATCAGAGAACTTGAAGCTTCAATTAGTTGCAAAGCTCTGCTGGCTGCCTAGTACCCAGTGCCAGTGAATCAGGATTCTGGTTAATGGATGTTATGACATTTCTCTGAACATAACTGAAAACCATTTTCCGGCGTTGCTTTTGAAGTACATTTTGTTATATCACCTGCTCCAAGCTGTGATGGCCGCACCTTGGATTTTTTTTTGTTATTTGTAACAAATACTTAAGAGAAATACCTTGGTTTGCTGAATGCTGTCTACTTAAATTGATGCAAGTTAGCTTGAGGGAATGAGGTGGATTGCATGTTTGTATCAAAAGAAGAGGTCATTTTAAGCATTTTTCCTTCACAGCTTTCTTAATTGGTCTCTGTGGACACGTGGCTTTTAAATTGCTGTATGTTGCAGCAGGGATGTTAACTGTTTGTTGTCAGAGACCTAGCCATCACTTGTGGGAAGTCCTGGGGTTGACCAGACGTTTAGTATCAGGAAACAGAGATGTCGAATGCCCTTGGTTATTAATACCCTTGTCCAGTACGGATTTAGTATTATAATGAGTGAAATTTGGCAATGTCATTAAGTTTCTTTCATATTCACGAAGTATTATCGAGACATAAATTTCCACCCAATACAGCTTTAATTTACTCTTTCTATGAAAGGACCTATGAAAAATGATACAGCATTTCTCTTTGCAAAGCTGGTTGTCTTATAAGATACAAAGATCATTTTTCCCCCCGAGGCTGAGGGGTTTTGCTAGTGAGACGTCCATTTTCCATTGTGTTGGTAATTTTTTTAAAGTAAATTCCCTTGAGTTTTTTCAGTACATCAGAGATATATATCTTCAATGTGACACCTACCATTGGTTCAGGGCTAAGTTAGGTTCTGAAAAATGAAGCCAGTGGGATCCATGGCAATGATCTAATTGTGATTCATCTTGCTGATTTTAGGGCAAGAGGAGTGGACTAACTCAAGACACAAGGCACCTTCAGCCAGGACAGCGAAGGGCGTCTACAGAGACCAGCCATATGGCAGATACTGATTGTACTGTCTGATGTTGTGAAATAGCCCATCTCCACCAGTCCTGTATACTGTTCAAAGTAATTTTTTTCTATGAACAATCCCTTTTTAAATAAAATGCTTAAAATCTGAATGGATGGAACTTAAAACTACTTTGTTGAAACATCAACCTGGGCAGAAAAAAAAAAAGACATGTAAAATTTTGTTATTTCCAGTCTGTATATGAAAAAATAGGTCATCAAAAGGAAAAAAAAATAACTTTGATTAACTAGTGTTAAACAAAAAGATAGGTTTACTAAATATGTTAATCCATCCTTTTAATATAAGCCTCACCTTTCATTTTAAAGGTTTCCATAGAATTTAGTTATTTTATCTTTCAGCCATATGCTAGTTTTTTTTCTCTTGCCAACGTGCGTAAAAAGGGAAGCCAATGACAAGTGCAAATAATGTGGTATTCTTTTGTAACTCAAGTCTTGAAATGTTCTGTAGTGTTAAGCAAAGTCTCCTCTTGCTTGATACTAAATAAACTTTTGAAAGAAATTTCGTGTGTGTGAGCTAACAATTTCATGTTTTTCTTATTTAAAAAGGCCTTCATAAATAGTTGTAAACAGGGAAAGAATTCATTTAACAACGCTTGTCATAAAAGGGTCACACTAAACATTGTACAACTTATTTTAAAAATGGTATAAAATTAAATGTACCATTATATACTCACCGTAGATTTAAATGCTGTTTAAAGAGTCCAAATGGTATCCAGCTGCTTGAATGGCACGTTAAAACTACGCAAAACCAAATCTTGTTTAAAAACTGGTTTTAAAATAACGACTACGGATTTTCTGAAAAAGATGTGATCAGTTTTCATCTTGTTGAGCGTTTTTTCACTAGTGCAACTTTGGATTTTTTATGAGAATTTTGGTACCTTAATGAACACCTCGCTCCATGCTGGAAGCAATAAGCACAAAGCTTTTAAAGACATTCTGACTTGACTAATTGAGGTCGCACTCGCCAAGGCTGAGGATGTGTAACCCTTAAACGGTCTTCATTTTCAAAGGTAAATAAATCAAATAAGATTTTAATCTCACTTAATTTATCTTAATATAACTAATAAAACCAGGGAGATTACAACTTAGCAAGTTTCCTTATCCATTTTAGAAAGGTTTTAAGATCACCTAAATTCTCATTTTAAAAAGTTTAATTTGTTTTAGTAATCTAAAAAGCCTTAGTTTAGTCAGTTTAATTGGGGCCAATTATTCCCTATTAAACAAATGTAAAACCTCATAACTAGTTGTTTGTAATACATTATTTGGTAGTAATTGAGGGCACTTCTTAAAACTGACAAATATTTAATAAAGTTATTCTTTAATCATTTGGCTTAAGTTTTTTTTTTTTAATTGTAGATTATGTAAAATGTTTAATTTTTGTTTCTTGAGGAATTTCCTTCTCTTTGAGTAAAAAGATCTTTTCTTTTGTTAGGAAATGTCAGCCATCTTGGAAGTCAAAGGAACAGGTTGTGCCCCTCAACTAACAAAGGTAAGTGCCTTTTGTGCCAATTATTTTGATGTGCTGTGGAAGATGAAGGCAACGTCATGCTTATCTAAAGTCTTCTGGAACCCTTCCCATGCTGGTTCCTGTTACCTATTATGGCAAATTAACTCCTCCAGTCAGAAAAGAAGCTTCTTGAATGTAAGCAAGTCAGACCAGTCAGCTCTGTTTAAGCTGTTGGCTCAGGTCATCACAATGTTTAAATACTTGGATTGCTTTCTTCAATAAAAATATAACAGTCTAGTGACTAACATGAAAAAAATTTCCAGATTATTAAGAGAAACAAGCAGTTTACCAAACCCTAATGCATAATATGATCCCAATTTTATTTTTTGAAAACTGACTGTGTATAGTCTTTCTATATATATTCATGGGCAAAAAATTACATGGATATGCTGGAAATTTTTGACTATAATTATCTTAGGCTTGTGGAAGTATGATTTTTTGCATGTGCTTTTCTATCACTTTGGAATTTTGTAAAACAAATTATTACTTTTATAAGATAAATATTAAAGTTTTATAAAATTATTTTATAAAATTTTTTTAAAAATCTAGGCATCTGTGGAGGAAAGGTGTCATTAATTTGGTCTTAGTTTTCAGATATTCTTCTTTTTTCTAAATTGTCAGAAACGCTACTTAGGCCCTGACGTTCCAGAGAGTCTTACTTTTTAAAACTATTTGTATTTGAGCTCTGCCCCTTGCTGTGCGACTTCAGACAAGTCTCACTTCAACATCAGCACAATGAGAATGATGCTTAGTCGCCTGTAGTTGTTGTTAAGAATTAAGTGAGATAATATTGTGAGAGTCTTTTGTAACCTGGAAAGTGATAGAATAATGTGAAGTTTAGTTGTCAAAGTTGAATACACGTGTTTAATATGTATGGGAAATATATATGAGAAATATATAAACATTTTTTCCTTAATAACCAAAATTAGCCTGAAACAATTACTGTTAGGAAGAAAATAGTTCCCTTCATTCTCACAAACTGAAATAAGTTTATTTTATTTATCTATTTATTTTTGCTTCTTGCACAGAAAGGGAATGTGGCATAACACATTTTTTTCAATGTGTGGTATTATATTGAATTTTTCACTATTTTCTTTCTTTAATAAGTAGGTTTTTTTTAAGGAATTGGCATATTAAATAATAAATGTGAGTTTCTTAAGTCAGGAATTATGGATAGGTCCCTAGAGGGTAAACCCCCAGGTGCTCTTCAGAGCTAATTTGTAGGAATTGTTGTTCAATTGTATGTTTATTTTCATATTTTTAAAGAATCCATAGCTCCATCGGACCATAAAAAGGGGTTGAGAGCCTGAAAGGTCAGGAATCAGCCAGAACATTGCTGGACAGGAATTCTCCTGCGTGGCTTCCAAGGCTTCCCTTATTTGGCATATACTCTACCAAGCCTGTTTCTTCTTGTTTCAACAGGAAGACTCTGCTGTAGACAAGCAGTCCTCTCCTGTCCCTAAGAGCACATTGCATTTTCCCAAATCTTTCCCCCAGCCTTTGTCTACCCTCTTGGAATTCGTTTATTTTCTCATTTGACAACATTCACTGAGCACGAGTTCTATACTAGACACGAAGGAGGCACCGGGAATACAAAGATCTATAAGACGTGGACCTTACGTTCAAGTAATTCAAAATCAAATAGAGGGACAGACTGACAAACCAGTGCTTGCTGTCTGTCCCTGTCCCTTTGCCTGTAGAAACCATGCCCATCCTTCAGGACTCGGCCCAGTGCCCTCTCCTCCATGACATCTCCGCCCGTTAAACCAGGCCCCAGTCCCTCGGCTCTCTGAAATAGTATGTTTAGTTTATCCTTCTTCATTGGATATCATAGGACTTAGATTGGTTACAATTTTCCATAATGTCCAAGCATGTGCTTATCATTTTCTATAAATGATTTCATTGAATCCTCATAGCTATAAGAAGGGTAAGTGTTTTACAAAGGAAGACACTTAAGCTTCAAGAGGTAAAGCCCACACACCTTGTAACTGGTAGAGCCACTTTTGAAGCATCCACTTGAATCCAGAGTCTTGGTTCGTAACCATACTGTTGCACTGTTGGTTCTCTGGGCTGACACTGACTCCCCCCTTAGAGTAAAGGCTCCTTAAGAACAGGGGCTAATTTTTTTTGTTACCTTGTATCCCTAAAAGTAACTCCCGCAACACTGAGCATTGGCTAGACATTATAATTGATAACCATCTCCTTCTCCGTCTCTTCCCCCTACCCCCACCCCAGAGATTCTTGAATCTTGTTATATTCAAGATATTCCAGTTTAATCAGTATCAGTATTCATTCAGATACGTTGACTGGGCATCCACTATGCTGCAGACAGAGGAAATGCAGTGATGAATGACATAGTCCTGTCCTTGAAGGTGCCACAGTTTACTGGGGAAATGGGCAAGGAAGGCATCAATAGGGCGGTGACAGATACAGGCACATGGAAGAGAGACATGTACACCCGGCAGGGTGGTTAGAGGTGGGAAAGGTGCCAGCTCAGGTGCCAGGACCAGTAGAAGATAACCACAGAGGGGGAAGATATTCTTGGAAACATTCATACGCAGCTCTGTCATTTACCAGCTTTGTAACCTTGAGTAAGTTCCTTAACCTCTCTCAACTGCAGTCTGAATCGCAGTTTCTCCATCCATAAAATGGGCACAATAATGCTGTCTACCTCAATATTGATGGGAAGATTAGAAGCATGCCTGGCACAAATATAGGTATTTAATCTTGTTTGTTGCTTTATGTAAATATTTGGAATTATAAGAAAACACATCTAGGAAACTTCAATTATATTGGATAATTAGGAAAAGCAAGAGATGCTGTCTGGGTAGGCAAGGGACATATAATGAAGGGTTTTGTAGGTCCTGCTAAGAAGCTTAAATACAGTGAAAGCTCTTCAGTTGTCATCTCCTCTTCTCCTTGAAGCCCACCCTGCTCCGTCCCCTGGGGTGGAGATAGTGCCCTTTTCAGTCCGTGTTCCAGCAAGAACTTTGCACAAACTTCTGTTTGCACTGGTTATTGATCCCATAGCCAGACAGTGAGTGCCTTAAAAAACAGGGGCCCTAACCTTTTCATCCTCTTGTCCCATCTCTGAGCACAACGTGTGGCAGAGTGACCGTTTAGCAAGTCAGTGAATATGAAAGAATGACATTGTCAGTGTGATCAATATGATTCCTAGCAGGCAGTGTTAGGAATGGTGAGGAATAGTTAGCAGAGACCAAAAAAAAAAAAGTCGCTTATGTTAATAGTATTATAGTTCAGGTAGTCTGGCTCCCTTGGTTTAACTCAAAATTTGACAGTGACTCTGGTCACCGCGTACAGAGACGGGTCCCAGAATTTAAAACTGATGATTGTGAAAAAAAATTAAAAAAGTGTAGTTGAAAATCTAATTAACCAAAATATAAGCCACTTTGTAAGGTATATGTGATGAATAAATAAATAATAATAAATAAATAATAGTTTATCTTCTACGCAAATAATATCTGCTATTTATATTGATATTCAGTGTCTTGTAGGGATAGAAGGGAAAAAAGTCCATCATTATATTTAAAATAAAATCTACTTCATGCTAGGTTTTCTTTCCATCCTTGAGAAAGGTTGTAGAACATTTTTAAATTTGAATTTCATCCTCCCTTATCTAATGGAAAATCCTTTCCACTTGAAGCCGATGCTGAATGGGATTCTTCTTCTCTCAAGAATCTCAGTTACTTCTCTCAGCGATTAGCACCCATTGCTGAAATTGATTTTCAGATCTTAGTGTTATGAGTCCTTCAGTGGCTCCCGATGGCTTTCAGGACGAACTCAGACTCCTTGGCTTTGAACATACAGCCCTGCAGACCTTGGTCCTGCCTACCTCTCCAGCCACCTCCAGCATGCTCTCCACCCTTCCCTGCTCTGCTCCAGCCTTGCTATTGAGTCCCCCTGTGGTGCTTCCAGTCTTGGCCATTTTCTGCCTGAAATCACACGTCCTTCCCCTCCCACCCAGCTCTTGA